GAACAGCTGGCTGATCACTAGATTTGGTTGTCTCCTGCACCAATTACAGTACGTGGAGTTGGGGTACGGTCTGGCAGTGGCATGTGATATGCCCCATTTTTGAGGACTGATTAGTCTTTAACTTAGAAAAGAAGTCAGACATCTAACACGTACAAAACACCGTAAACAACAAACACGTGCCCGCTGAATTAGTTCAAATCGATAATGAGGTCCAGATTGTTTCTGTCTCCCCAACGTTCCCGAACATCCCTGGGCTTCATTGATATGCAGACTTGCCCAACGCAAAGAAGAAAGATTGGGGTAAAGGTGGAGTACACGATGAAAAAGCAACCCATCACAAATCAAGGCTGAGGCGCTAGTGGTGCAGGAGTGAAGAACCAAGAAAACGGGCTAGACTAAAAAATGGAACCCTATTTTTGCGCGTTACCGTTGGACATCGTCTCATCGGTGTTGGCGTCATCACTGTGATCGCCCTGCTCTACCTCTTCGCTAAGCGGCTAATGTCTGCGAATCGAGTCTAACGGCAAGATGGTAGCTGACAGTGGGCCTGTATAGTCACGAGCTCCATGCTAGGCCGCTAGGGGCAGATCTTCGCTGCGAAATTACATCGTCCCTCATCCTTCATGCAACGCCTGCCTTTCCGGGTACACTTTATTCTCCCTCAAATCTTTACATGTAGCTTTCGTTTAAAAAGTGGAGCCTGCGCGTCAAAATGCACTACAGCTGCAACTGAAGAATTCAGTGAATAATTCCTGGGTCGAAGGTCCCCAACACGTGCCACCGCCTACGCAAAATCAAGAAGCTTCCAGGAGTATCATGTTTTTCTTCTGCCATACAGGTTGTTACGGTGGAACTTATTTATTCGGTCGACGTTTCGAACAACTCGTCGTCTTCAGGACCTTTGCAGCTCCACCAGCGCCACGTGTCTACCCCAATTCCTTGAGTAGATGCAGAAATTTTCCTTATCTACTCAAGGAATGGGTAGACACGTTTCCGAAAACCGAATAAATAAGTTCCATCGTAACATCCTGTGCTGCAGAAGAAAACGCGTAAATATTCTCAACAGGCGGTTTTAAGAAGACCGAACATGGAACCTGCTTCCAGGAGCTATAATTTGTGACAGATACATATATAACTACATGTAACGACCTTGCAGTGCATTATTTGCTACAATGTTTAGTAAATGCTTGCACTTTGTTTCAATTCAAATTGCACTTTCTGTGTCATAATTACATTTGTTGCCGTACTATTTACGCGCACTTTTCTGAGAGATCTCGATCAGGAATACTTATTTCAGGACTTATCGAAGAGCAGTGAAAGTAAAGGAGATTCAAAGGAGGTCAAAGAGGAGAAAAAGCCCGGAAGTGAAGAAGGAAGAGGTACAATTTTTACTATGCATATCAGAGCATTTCATATTCCTCCGGACGGATCGCTGAATACTTTTAACAGGAGAGCAAGGATAAAGAAGCAATCAAAACGGACAAGACAATGGCCAGTAAAATAGAGGAGGTGAAACAAGAGAAGAAAGAGGGAGAAGCAAAACCAGAGGAAAAACCAAAGGAAGGCGCTCCTAAAGAGGGTATGCACCCGCGGAATATCACTCTACAATTGTGTAGACCACTAAGAGGTGTATCGTGTGCTATGTCGGTGTGATGGTCACGGTGTACGGTGCCCAAGTAAGCTGAGCGGAACCCTTCTCCAGCTCTTTACACATCCACTAAAAAATTGGTAAACGTTTGAAGAGAAACCTTACAGGGGTGTCGTGCTCGTGACTTACATACCGATCAGAGAGGATCAAGCAGTCCCATTCTAAACTGCCGGAGTCCTGTATGACGCGCGCGTCTGGCGCGCAGCCGCGCATGAGTAAATAGAAAAGGGTTAGCCACGATAGGCAAGACAATTTGAGGTGCAAAAGGGCAAGAATTAGCGTCCAGCTTATGTACAGCACGTTGTTGAGAATGCCAGGCAGATTTTGCTTGGAGAAGTGCGTGGCCCACCACAAAAAGAGACCACTAATCCAATGCTTCATTCGGAAACAGTGAAATGAAAGTGATTCCATTCATACAGGATATACCATAAATATTGCACCACTTTCCTTCAAGTGTAAGTTCTCTCAAAACGTATGTATCTTCGAGAGGTTATACACAATTTTCAGCCATACATTTACATATTCAAAGGAATGAATTTCATGATATGACCTCCTGTTGCTGTGATATGGCTCCCGATTGTGTCGCTTGCGACGCAACACTACTGTGCCCCGCCATCGCATTCTGAGAGTCCTCCTAGGTCGAAAACTTTGCAGTGAAAAGGCTATGGCTCATTCATATAAATGCCACGTTAAGAGCAGGGTCTGTCCCCTAATACAGCTCACATAACATGGTACAGCATGTTGGAATCAAGAAATAAGGGATTTTCAATTCCAACGTTACAGCACGTTGGAATTGAAAAAATAAGAGAGCTTTTCGTTTGAGGATGTGAAATTGGAAGGAGTAGTCCAAAACCGCTCCTGAACAATTTCTCCCTTCATGCAGAGGTGGGTCCTATTGAAAAGAATATCATTCTCCCCCAAAACGGCCAGATACCTTAGTATACGCCCGACCTAGCTGTGCGAAGGATCAGCCACGCTGTTGAAGTTTATGCGCACCATGAGATGTAGGCAGAACGGTAAGCCGTGCAATTTGGCATGGTCATTCACAAGAGGTAGAGGATTGAAAGGTCTGCCAATCTCGGAAGAAAACTATAAACACCACAGAATTGAGCTCAAAATTTGGTGCAATATTTATGGGACACCCTGTACTTGCTCACTTTCCCTGACTGCTGAACACTCGGCAAGGAAGGAATTCGGTTGAAGGGATTTTCGGACGTTGAGAAGCCTGAAGTCAAGATCGGGCAAAGAATGCGAAACGGGGGAGTCGTTGCACCGAAAAACGGGAGCGCCGAATGGCTTACAGAGTGTAGGATAGAAGGAAGAAAGCAGTGATTTTATGATTAGGGCTCACCTTTCTATTGCGGTTAAACACTCCACTAGCTCGCGACAAAAAAAGAATCAAAAAGGCAGCTTAGAACGGAAGGAGGGTGGCAAGACGCACGGCCGAATCCATCAACAATTAAATTACTTTTTAAGTATAATGGTCGGAGATAGTATGGCAAGTAGTAAGCGGAGTTTATACCGTGTACAATCGATACACTATCCATGCTGTTTTTTCATCTCTATTATATTTACGATTTCGCATTTCACAACTTTTCAATTCCTAATCAGCGGATTCAGAATAAAAAAATATTGAGCCCATCTTTCGCAGTCCTCATTATCCTCATGTGCGACATAAATATGGTTCTAAATTGGACGAAAAATGTATGGCCGATTAGAGTAAAGTTCCTATGAAAACGGAGGATTTCGAAGAAATTCCGCGTTTTTCACAGCTTTCGTCTTATGTAGATCAAAGAATAACAAGTCGAGAAATGCCATTCCTGCCGCTTTAATTATTTTCTATTTTCAAAGCACTGTATCTGAGTCCATTTATAATCCTGCGAAAAACATAAACAGTGCATTGGAGAGCGAAAAAAGTACTTTCAAATGGAATACCGAGTTCAGTTGACTTGAAAATATAGAAACCATGCTAGCATAATAGCAATTTTTCAGCTAAGCCCGATGAGAAAAAGGATGCAGGTTAGTCTAGCCATCATTTGAAAAGCGGCAGATCCATCCACAAAAATCATTAAAGCCGCAGTCCCAGCAGCAGTTCTTACTTTCGACACTATCGATGTGGAACGACGCTAGCCCTAGTCAAGAATATAGGAAGTGCGACTGAACAAAAAACTCGCATTGGAAAGCCGCTAGAAAGGTAGCGTAATAACTTCGTATAGCATGGTTGGCGAATCGGCGAGCAGCTATTGCAGCTGACTGGCATCCACGCCCGCTCCGAAGCTGTTCAGCTCCCTCTCTAGCGGCTTTCTAAGGCGAATTTTCGGTTCAGTCACATTTCTTACGTTCTTGACTAGGGCTAACGCATCACTCCACCATTAGTGCCGAAAGTGAAAATTCTGCTGGGACTGTTGCTTTAAACATTTTCGACATAAACATCGTAACATTTTCAGACTAAACCGAAGGAAAAAGGCGGATGCAGTGAGTCTAGTCACCTTTCAGAGCGGTCGGTCGAATACATGCATTGAATACTATTAAATATTATCTGGTTTCAGGAAGCGGGGTGACAAAGAAGGTAGGCTGTAGTTGAGAGCGTCAGAATTCAAAACTGGATAACTTGGCTTGTTCAGCCAAACCCCTGAAGTTCAGCACCACACAACTTGAGTGGGATGAAAAAGGAGGGCAGCAGGTTACTTAACTTGAAGTTGATCACAGAAACCTAGCGATCAATATAGACCTTTCATAGACTATGACCGTCACCAACATCACAGACGTAAGGCAAGGCATGAAGATCAAGTCATCTGATAATAAGCTCTTCAAGTGAGTGCCTACCAACGAAGAAGACTCGAAGAAAAACGACACAAAAAACTGAGACTGTAAATATTCAGAGTGCATCCCGTCTTCTCGAATGTGGATCCAGGAAAATCTGTGGATGTCACCGTTCAAACGAGAAGCTGCCGCTGTGAAATCGGACAAGATAGTTATTGTGACAGCTCCGGTGAGTCTGTCAACTTGAAGGCAAAGTCACCACCTACGTTGCTCACTGTTTTGGTACCATAGAATAAAAATAACAAATGCTTGATTCATTCTAGAATAAAGACGTTGACGACCCGGAGAAATTCTTCGATAACATAGACCTGAAGCTCTCCACTTCCGTCATCAGACAAACAGGAAAAGCAGCTGCGAAGCCAGAAGAGAAGAAATGAAAATACCTACACTGTTTTCACAGATCATTGTAATAAACAGTTTTTATTGCTTAGCTCATACCTGGAATCAGCGTCAGTCACTTTCATCCGTACTGTCCTTTTCGCTTTCACTCTTTTTATTTTCACTACCGCTATCACCATCATCACTATCACCATCTTTATCCTTCTCGTTATCCGTACTATTCTCCTGAAAATAATGAAATTTTTCCCATTTTAAGCAACGCTTTCATTGTTTTGTGCCACACACCGCTTTGCTTCAATTTACAAGAAGACCAACAAAAACAACAAAGGGATCCCCGTTCGTTAACGTTTGGAAATCACTTTTTGGAAGTTAAGAGGGAGAGTAAAGAGAATTCTAGAACTTTCTGACCTTTTCGCTATTTGAGCCTTCTGAACCACCCGATTCAACTTTCTTTTTCTTTTCCTTCTCTGGCTGCTCTTCGTGGTCAGACTTATCCGATGCCTTGTCTGAAAACAATTTCTTTTTGCGGTTCACAGTAACCGAGGAAGGTCTGGAATACGATACAGAGTGCAGCGCTGCGAAAGCAGGGAGGCAAGATAAAACCACCCTGAGAGCTTTGATGGAGAAGCACTAATTGCAAAAAATGTAATCTAAGTAACACAGTTCAAGGTTATTAACCCTATCGTTTTATACAGCTAAACAAGTATGTAGCTTTGCAAAAGAAAACAAAACAGACATAATAAAAATCAATATGCTACAAAACAACTTATAATAAAAAACAGATAAACCTTTTTGGTTGGTTGTGTTTAATGTTATATTAAATTACGATACGCAGAAGTGGAAAAGAAATTGGAAAGGAAGACAAAGGAAATAAAAAAATGCGCTGTGTGTGTACAGCTAGATTTACAAGTAGGATGCGCTTTCATCATATGAGCAAGTGAAAACAACGTGCTTTACCCGTAACATTCATTCACATGAATAACAAGACTGAATATAAGGACTTGTCCATCAAACGAATAAAAGTTTACGGAACAGAAGGAGAAAATCAAAATGGGTAAAGGGTGTGGAGGTGTACAAAGTCTAACATTTATTAGTCACACTATTCATGGGAATCAGACAAACGGGTATATCATATTGCTTTCACCTGATCCGGTACAAGCGAATCCTACTTGTAAGTACCGCATACCCATACCGCAAAGCAACTATCTCCTACAAATGTAGCTGACTGCCTCACCTCCTTCACCTTCATCGTCCGAATCGTAATTCCGGAGCAAAGAGTTCATTCTACTCGTCATCTGTTGCATTTCAACCTCAGTCGGGACCGTATATGTAATATTCAAACGCGTGTTGGGCTGTAAGGGAAGTTTATTCTGCGAAAGTTGATCATAAAATCTTGCCAAAGCGAAAGGGCAAAAATTAAAGGAAATAGAAATCGGAAAGGGAAAAATATGGCAACTCGAACCTTTTCGTGAGTTGCGCGGCGCCGTCGTGCCAGCCGTACTTTAGTTTCTAGCTCATTATAATGGAAACATCCATCTTTGTAGTATACGAAGTAGTTATCGCGTTCGAAGCCTTTCGTATTTTTATTCTTCACTGTCCAAGTATACTCGCGATTTAACGTATGTTCATATCTGTTTGAATACTCAATAAGAGATAGTGAATGATGGATGCGTGAAGGAAACTCACACTGCTCCTTCTTCAAAACTTCGACCTTCTTCCTTGTCATTAAGTGTCTTCTGTAGGGTTTCCACCGTCGGAATAAAATGTGCCACAAATTGCTCGCCATCATCGTCCTGCATCCCCCTAGATAGAGAAAAACACAACTATTCAAGAATCCACGAAAGTTATCAAGGAATAGTACTTGATG